GAAAAGGGCTTAAAGAGAAGGGAGAGAAAAGAGGGGGGGGGGGGGGGGGGGGAGTGAAGAAAGGTCAACTGCACCCACATGTTGTAGGTGTGGCATAAGTTTTGAAGTTACTGCAGAATTCTGCTCTCGAACAAATTTATGGAAAGTGTCTAACCACTCTCTAGGAAGAATATTACGCAAAGCATTTTAGTCATATAGTTCACTAATTCTGGAACCATGTTGACATGCCGCCATAAGTAATTGTATGTGTACTTTATTTTCATCGTTTGTGAAGATTGGATGCATGCTTTATTTTGATTGTTGTGAAGACTGGAGGAAAAGTTTCATCAAACTCTCCCACAATTTACAACTGTTCCTTTCTTTTCTTTGTTGTTTTCTTAGTCTTTATTATTATGTTTCTTGTAAATCTCTATGAAATTGTCGGTAAAGCACCTCATTCTTTTATGTATTCTTACTCATTCTTGTTCTGTTGTATCCGTTGTTCTAATGTATCTGCTAGGTACCGGTATGACATGACAGTTGAAGAAGCGGCAGAGTTGGCTAGACGAGCTATTTATCATGCAACATTCCGAGATGGAGCCAGTGGTGGAGTTGCTAGTGGTATGCCTCTCTCTCTCTCTCTCTGTGTGTATATTTGGGCGTGTATGAGTGATTTTTCCATGAATGTCTTGTTATCAGTTTATCATGTGGGACCTGATGGATGGAAGAAGCTATCAGGCGATGATGTTGGAGAGCTTCACTACATGTATTATCCTGTTGAACCAACAGCAGTGGAACAGGAAATGATTGAAGTGTCTGGGGCCTGAGAGTGACAAAGAAATATCTGTTGTGACGTTCTTTGTAATTGCTTGTAATTGTTTTGATGCTCGGAAAGTACATAGACCGGGCTGGATTTAAGTCATTTAACTTGGTTTTTGCTGGTATCATTTTTTATCCGGTTTTGAGATTTTTAACGATCATGCTTGATATGTCATTTTCCTTATTTTTAATGTTTCCCATCTTTTTTGTTTGGACTTTGGATGCTCTGTTTCGAGCAATACTGTTTAAACTACCTTGCAGTACAACTGGGCCATTGTTGAAACGCTAGTGGCTCCCATTGATTACGCAACTTCCCATGAGATAGCCGGATATTGCTGGGCACAATGTCCCTCATAATTTACCCTATTACATAATACAAAGCATTCTATGAAATATGTTAGGACTCGTAATTTTTGATGTGTCGTACCGGATACGAAATCAACATAATTTTAATGGGCTCAGACTATTATTGAGTTTGATTGGTCTGACTCGTTTAACAGTGGGTCAATATGAATCTAGGTTTACACTACTGCTATAAAGTTCACATTACTGTATGGGTTAAAAAAAATTGACTTAAAATATGTTTTCAATATGACACAATCCATTGGCAGCAGTCCACTTGAAGTGCGTTAATTACAGTTTCTTTCAATGTCGTGTAGTGATTTAGATTTTAGGATTATTTGAAAAGGAAAATGCTATGTTCATCAATTCTTTTATCAAAATATAGATCCTTCAAAGTTATTGGATAGTTAGTGAAAGTTTGTGGGACCTTACTGATCCTAGGAATCTCATTGATTTGGGATAAAAAATTAGTAAAAGTTTTTGTGAATGTACCATTATTGATCCGAAAAAGCTTCAATTTCTCTTTATAGTGAATGACAAGATATTATTCTCATACCCTAATCCTGCAATGCACTCGGATTGGATTTAGGTTGTCTCCATTATGTTTTCATTCAATGGTGAAATTGAGGGAAAGTGTAATGGACATGATCTCAATGGATCTTAAAGAGTAGGCAATTAACCGGGTTTGGCTCTTCTTCAATCACAAAATAATTAGAAGATTCTCCAAAAATGGTATACCCCAAGATTAGTTTGCCCAACTATTTGCAGGGACTATAATAATTATTTCCTGATAAAATGATTGTAACTTGTTCCCAGTGAATTGCTGGCTTTATCTCATGTCTACCATAGCAACCGAGTCGGCTAGACAATTTCTCAAGCAAGTAGAGTGCTTTGGCAAACTTAGCTTACCAGCCAATTCTCGGATTGGATCAACCATACAAAACAATGTTAAGTGCAAAATGGGACCCCATGTTACTAATGATCTAGTTGAAGAACTCTATGCTGCGTATGCTTTACAATTCCCTTAGGTACAAAGCAAAGGATTTTGTTTTCTTATATCTCACCGTATTGTTCTATTTAGGGATGTCTATGGAAGGGCTCTAATACTTGTCTCTCTTAAAATAAACGAAATGATCATTACATGCTAATATTAAACAGGCTACTATCAACTTTATATTATAATTTCCAATGAACTAATCATCATAATGATAAATTTTGGATAGTACAATAGTTGGGATATGTGTATACGACAAATATCATTTTACACCTGATTGATAGTGAAGCGTAGTGTTAAAACAGTGGCAGTCGAATTCTAATCAATCAAGGAAGGTGGCAAAGTGTGACTGGGCATACGCCGCAACCCCATGATTTCCTAGGTTTTTTTTGCCAAATAGGAGTGGTTTTTCAATGTTACACAGTTTTTACATTGATTTTTTAACTTATTTTTTATGCAACACTATTTCAATAAATAAAAATCTCAAAAACTTTGTACGTGAGAAAAGAGAGAATAGAGTGAAAAATCACGGTAATTAAAAAATGGATCTGTGAAGAACATGAGATAATGTGCACAACACCAACACATTCATCTAAAGTGGTGGCTAAATCTGATGAAGTTTGAGCCAAAATGGTATGATTCGGCCACAGCCATGTCTTCATGTATATATGCTGGTCTCGGAGAAGTTGCCATACGTACGTGGGACCCATTAAAAATGGATATGGGATTCGGGTCAAATATATGTCTTGGCCCGCTCCTTGAAGTCATGGGATCACATGCACGTCTCAGAGACTCAGGCATAGATAAATGATCAATTAATATTTACAATCCCAATATCCAACTGCTCTGAGAGAATTCAGAAGAATACATACACAACCAAACCATTACACTAGCTGGAAATAACATGTTCTCTCTCTCTCTCTCCCGTTTTGTTAGCTTCTAAGCATGTTTACATGATTGGGAGTTTGATATACTAATCATCATGCACCTCTCCACTACACTAAGGCATGCACCTCTCCACTACGCAAAGGCACTAAGGAAATATATCATATTGTTATTATTTACTAGTCTAGGTATCTACAAAAAGGAATTGTCTATGATACAAAAAAAATTTGGTATCGTATCGATATTTCATATTTATGAGGATTTTTATTACTGTTATGGTACCGAATAAAAATAATTACAACAGTGATAAAAACACTTACAAATGTGATAAATTACCCATAAAAGTGATAGTTTTTATTGTACAAAAATTTTTTTGATTAAAATAATTACTACCACAGTGATAAAAATAATAATATAACTGGGAAATTTTTTAATTATAAAATGACTCATAAAAATTATAAAAATATTCATTAAAAAAGTAAATTTACGAGATATAATACCGAATTTTTTTCCGATACTTGGTCAAGTCCTTACAAAAAAAGTGGTGTAAACTAGGGTTGTAAGTTCTGTATAATTTATAACTGATCTATATATTCGTATTTTTGAGTCGCATACATGAACTATAAGCACACATTATTAGAATGATTCTAGTTAGGATTGTTACTATGTGTTAATCTGTATAAGTTGGTTCAATGGGTAGATGAAAAACGAGATAAATTTGTATGATTTATAGAATTCGAATTCTAAACACCATATAAAACTCGAATTTAATTAATGTGTATGATTGGGGAATGTTTGTTTTATATCTTATGTTTGCTTCGTAACCAAAAAATCAATAAGTATTCATGATTAGAATGGTGATTTAATTTACCTAAAAAACAAAAGTAGACTTGTATTTTTGTTGAAATTCCTTGGAAAGAAGAAGAAAGCATATAGGAGGAGACAAAGTTTATATCAAAATTGTGGAAAAATGTCTATTGGAGTATCATGTCATTAGTATAAGACGGTGGTGTTGGTTACTTGAAAGGGATGGCTGTAATGAGTAACACTGTCCTTTTTTTCTCATCAACCACTCGTTTCATTCCATTAAAAAAACTAACAAGAAATGATAACAAATTATAGGGTTCTGTTCAAATTGTTTTGGTAAAGGATTTTTTAGCCACATGAATAGTCCAACCAAAGGCAATGCTTAAAGAATTATCTGCATTTGAACCCACGGTTTTCTTTTTCTTTTTGGTTAATTATAATTTAGCCCCTCTAATTATGACTCTTATTGCAACCAACTCCTTATGGTTTCAAAGGCTGTAATATACCCCCTCTTAAGTTTCAAATGGATTAAATTGATTGATAGCAGTTGTTGAACCATGAAACTACCATTACACTATTCATCTTGTTTGTTATTTCTCATTTTTTTTTTTTGGGGGGGGGGGATATCAATTCTTTCTATAAAAAATTAAGAAAAAGTTAAGATAATAATACATCCGTTTAACCTATTAATATACTACACAACATGTTTGCCTCCACCAAATACCAACATGTGTGTATGGGCACACAGACACACACACACACACACTCTTCTAGGGGTAGATATGACTTTTCAATAAACTAAAGATCACGTAAATTTCTCATGTTTAACTTCAGTCATTTTTTATGATCTAAAATTAAATTTTGGAGTTAACTACAAAATATTCAAACTTAAAAAGGGCTATTTGTTAAAATTGAACTTGGAAAAGTAATGACAAACTACTAAAAATTGAAGGGGTCATTTTATAATTCACCATTTTTTTTGTCGGTAACTACTATTACATGGGGGTATAACGAGGTTTGAACTCGTGACATTAAAATTCAACAACAAGAACGACGATCATTAAATCAACTGCTAAACTCAACCCACGAGTTCAAACCACTGCATAGCGAAGGACTTGTATGAATAAATGCAATTTACTCTAATCAACTCGAATTCAAATGGAACTTAGTTCAAGTTCTTTTTTATTAATGTCGTAAATTTTTGTATTTATTCTGAGTTCGGGCAAAAAATTATCCTCGTTTAAATTTGAAGAATACGCGAGTTGTGTTCTGGAAGTTTTAGAACCCATCCAAACCCAACTCAATTTACTGAACTTAAGCTCAACCCTTGTTGACCTCGAATTTGGAGTTGGAGTTGTGCGAATCAATAATCAAATTCAGGTTTAATCTAAATTAAGTTCAAATTATAATTGTAATCCAAATTGAATTAGAATTAGAATTAGCATTATATAATTGTAGAATCAAACTCGAATTCAACTTGAATTGTCTAAAATTCAAATGTAACATGGGTTCAAAATTTAATACATGAACAATAAAGGTTTAAATTGTATTTAAATTTAAGTTCAACTCGGATTGAATGATTAAACGGCTCTCTAACGGTCCAATCCTCACCTGTTCCTCTCTTGCCAAATTATAATATGATTCGTTTGAGAGAAAAAACTAAATGTCTGCACTACCCCTCTGGTCTCATAGAAAGAGACCCCTAGCTGTACTGATGAGTCTTATAATAGACAACACTCTCACTGGTCACTCCAATCCAAGTTACGAGTGGTAAGCATGTTGCGTCGATTATGTTTGTTTTGTGTTATTTACAGATTTGTATTGAGTATCGGTCAATTCAAATTCAACTCATTTAATATCGTGTCAGGTTAATGATCAAAGAAATATAAATCGTGTCGTGTTGATCAGATATATTTATTTTTATGTCGTATTCTTGTTGACTCATATACATTGTAAATAAAAATTTTAATATTAAGATTTAAGTCTAATACTACATTATCTCGAAATCGAACTCACACTCATATTTTTTATTATTATAAAATCCTTTTTGGCATAAATATTTGGCATTTTATTTTTATAATATCAGTTAAGCGTGTTAATAAGTCGTGTTATTTATTATTCGTGTTAATAAGTCGTGTCATTCACAGGTTCGTATTAAAAAATGGTCAATTCTAACTCATTAATTTTGTGCCGATTTCGAGCCGTGTTTATGTATTGCATCAT